GGTCGACTCATGGGTCATGGGTCGACTCATAATTCATGAGTCGACTCAGCAGAAACTAAATGGCAACAGGACTCGATATCGTGAGTCGACTCATGACAGTCATGGGTCGACTCATGGACTAAAAACTGCATTCTTCGATTTCTGTTGCACACGATTTGCAAATTTGCAACTCAACCTCATACCTGAGGCATAACTACATCCTCATAAACTCAAAGCACTAGTTTTCATGTACAACCATGCCATGAAGATATTTTATCATATATTAAATATTGCGTTTCACTAATATTCACATATATGGATTATCAAAATTAATGGGGTCTTACACAAGCTCACCTGAACGCTTGAAGCTCGTCTAAATTGATTGAAGCTCGTCTGATAGCTTCTCATCGAGGTTCGCCCGCATACTCCAACCTCGCCTGCATGTGCCAAGCTCGTCAGGCTCGCCAACTTCGCCTTCAAGCTCGCCCAAGCTCGCCTGAATTGTCAAGCTCGCCTGCACAGCTTGACCAAGTCAGCCACTAAAGCTTGAAACGTGAAAGTGGTTGTGCCCACTTTTCACATTTTGAGGGGGTGGTTACTAGTCATTCTCCTCTATAAAAAGTCACTAATGGTTACAAGAAAAGAGAGGCAAGGAGACGAATCTAGCAACTTGTGCACTCGACTCTAAAATATCCTAGCTCGGGTATTCAAACTCCGATAAAGCTTCTACCATGCGACGAAGCTTATTGGTAGCCTTGTTCGAATCCTCAAAAGAAGAGGACCAAAATTTGAGATCTCGACATACTCGGCCTACAAGCAATCAAGCACTTGTTCGGCCTTCGAACTCATCCAACCAAACTTCTACCACACACTGAAGTTTGTCCGCAACCTCGTTCGAATCGTCAAAGGGAAGCAAATTCGACACGAGCATCGAGGGAAGCATCCTATCGCCCCAAAGAACCCACGTTAAACAAAGAGAGATCGAATCAATTCTCTCTACTTCTGTGTAAAAGCGATTTTGATTTGTAATATACAATTCAATTAATACAAATTTTGAGATCTCATTTTACGACACTGTTGTTAATTTTTTTAATTTCGTGTTTATTGTTTTAAGTTTTGAAACATCATAAATTTTTAGGTGCATCATGGTAATTCCTTAAATTCATCTATGTTGTTTGTAAGTTTTAAAATTTTAGAATTTCAGGGTGATTATTTGTAATTTTAACTTATAAGGGTATTTCTATAAATTTTAAGACATTGAGGGTGTTAACTTCAAATTTTAAGTTCTTCATATACTGCTGTTAATTTCTTATTTTCATGTTTGTTGTTTTAAGTTTTGAAGCATCAGGATGTTTTTTATAATTTTGAACTTTTGAGAGTATTTTGTGCAATTTTAAAACTTTTTAGAGTTTTTTACAATATTTATGTATTATAGTATGTTAGCTACATATAATTTATTTATCTTAACAAATTTATACCGTAAAGTTGTTTTATATATTTTACTAATATATTTTTTTTAAATTTGTTGAGTTATAGATAGTTCACGTAGGATTCAGATAGGATATGACTAGGATAGATTAATATTTTTAAAAAAAAATAAAATAATGAAGGGTAATATTAACTATGGAAAGCTCTTCCCGAACTCGTGATTTTAAAGAGAGTATGATTATCAGTTCCATCTAATGACAATTAAGTAGGTGTAGTTTAAAATTTATTATTTTCATGGACTATAACTCACAATTATTTCAACATTTATTCGTTCTAACTAAATGAAAACTATGTATGCGTATATTAGAATTTAAGATTTTTATGGGCTATAACTCATAATTTTTTTTTCAATTTCGTTCATTTCGATCAAATGACCTTTAAGAACATAAAGTCCCAAATTCAAGTTATCGACTATAACTGTTGATTTTTTTTGAACATTTTAACCAAATTGAAAGTAAATGTGTACATCAAAATTTGCAACAACTCTCATAGGCTATATAATCTATGATATTTTATAATTTTTGTGCAATCTGACTAAAATCAATTTAGCATGCATGATGCAAAATTTATGTTTTCATGGGATATTTATATCCTACTATTTTTGAGGTTTTTGTATGCTTTGACCAAATGAAAATTAAATGTGTATATCAATGTTTGCTGTTTTTGTGGATTATAACTCATAATTATTGTCAAGTTTGTTCATTCCTACCAAATGACAATTAATTATGCATAGCTCAAAATTCATGATTTTCATGGGCTATACATCACAATTTTATTATTTTTTATTTACTTCGACCGAATGGAAATTAGGCATGTGTATATTAAAATTTATAATTTTTGGGATTATAACCCACCAGTTTTGTCAAATTTTGGTCATTTCTACCAAATATGTAGGTATAGTAAAAAATTCTTGTTTTCGTAGGCTATAACCCGTGATTTTTGTAAGTTTATTTGTTTCAACCAAATGGAAATTAAGTATGTGTACATCAAAATTTGTGATTGTCATAGGCTATAACACATGGTTTTTGTTATTTTTCTGTCATTTCTATCAAATGACAAATATGTATGAGTAATTAAAAATTCATGATTTTTAAGCACTAATAACCCACGATTATTTTAATTTTCATTTATTTTAACCAAATGAAAATTAAGTTTGTGTATACTAAAATTTGTGATTTCATGGGCCATAACATTGTCAATTTTCGATTGACCAATAGGAATTAAGTACACTTAGTTCAAAATTTTTAATTTTCATTGGGTAAAACTCATGATTTCTACAATTTTGTACATTTTGACCAATTGTAAATTAAGTGTGGCTACATCAAAATTTACAATTTTATAAGATACAATCCATGATTTCTATCAATTATAGTTTATTCAATTAAATGACAATTAAGTACGTGTAGTTTACAATTCATGTTCCTATAGCTATAACCCATGGCTTTTTGCATATATTGTATGTTTTAAAAAAATTACATCAAAAATTGCGATTTTCATGGGATATATCCTTTGTTTTTGCCATTTTTTATTCATTTCTACCAAATAACAATTAAGAGCATCTCCAAGGGGCCGGAAAAATCCGGCCCCTTAGCTAAATTAAGGGAGTTTTAAGGGATTCGGTCTCCAATGGACCGGAAAATTTGTCCCTTCACCTCAACTCCCTAAACTTTCTCCCTAGAATAAGGGGAAGGTTAAAGTCCCTTAACCTTCCCATTATAATTTTATAATAATATTTTTTTTCTTTAGTGTTAATTTATGTGTTATTAAATTTAGTTAATATATAGTTAATTTAAAATAATATAATTAAATTAATGTTTAGTTAATTTAATTTGATTAATATTTTTTAAAATGTACCTCTTATAATTTTTTATTATAATTTTTTATTAATATTTTTTATTAATTATAGGTTGTTTTTTCTAGTACAAAGTGTTTTTCTAGTATAGGTTTTTTTTCCTAATATAGGTTGTTCTTCTAGTATAGGATTTTTTTAATTATAGGTTGTTTTTATGGTATAGGGTGTGTTTCTAGCATAGGCTTTTTTCTAGTGTAGGTTGTTTTTCTAGTATAGGCTTTTTTAATTATAGGTTTTGTCTTTACAGTATAGGGTGTTTTCTTGTATAGGCTTTTTTCCTAGTCTAGCCTATTTTTCTAGTATAGGCTTTTTTTTGTTTTTTTAGCTAGAATAGCTAATTTTTTTTAAAACTATCTAATTAATTTTTACCCTATAAATAAGGCACTACCCTGATGTTCACTTTCACACTTCACTCTTTCATTATTTCTACCTCTATTTCATCATATATACTACAATTTAAGGTAGGTTATATTTTTTGTTTAATTATAACTGCACTTCATGTTTCTTATATTTTTAAAATATTCCACATTTTGGCACCGAGTAGCAACTTACTATCATGAAAACAAAACATTCAGTAGCGATCGTGATCAAAAAGGGTTAGAGCACCGTTGGTCCGCTATTCAAATTGCAGTTAGTAAATTTTGTGGGTGTTTTAATCAAATTGAAGCAAGAAATCAAAGTGGCGTGACAGAGAATGACAAGGTACTAATTGTGGCTTCAAATTATTTAAACTGATTAGATTTATATAATTTATTAATTGTTTTACTTTTTACATGTTAGTAAATTTATTTTATTTTTTAATTAGATTATGGAAGCGATGCAAATGTTTCAAAGCATGCAAGGAGCAAGTTTTCAATTTTTACATTGTTGGAATGAGTTAAGGTTCCATCCAAAGTGGCTTGGCCAATTTTCAATGAAAAAATCTAAGAGGTCAAAAAATTCAAGTCCTGCTACATCTTCTCCTGCAACTCCAGATTCAATAAATTGTAGGGAAGACGAATGTCCTACTGAGGGTTCGTCAAGGCCCATAGGAAGAAAGGCTGCAAAAGAAAGGTTGAAACAAGGTAAAGACAAGCATGTGGCTTCTGAAATTACACCAGTGATGTTGTTTATTGATGAAATGAAGCAGGATCGGAAAGAAAAAGAAATAAAGAGAGCAGAATTATTTGGTCAAATTTATGTTCAGGAGCAAGAGCGCATAAAGATAGAGCAAGCTAGACTACAGGTCGCTCAAGAAGCTCAAAATATCAAAAAGGAAAAAATGCGATTGAAAGCTATGAAACAAGATGAGAGGATTATGGCAATTAACACTGATGGCATGCCTCCATTGCAAGTAGAGTATTACAATAAGTTGAAGATGGAAATTCTTGAAAGGCAATTTGATGGTGGTAGTTCAAATTAGAAGGAAGATGGTGTATCGTACATGAAGATGATGTATCATATTTAGTGTGCTCTTATGTATTTCAATTTACTTTTGTTGTATCGTACTTGAAGATGATGTATCGTATTTGAAGATTTTATGAAGTTCTATTTCTGCAAATGGAAACTTTTCTCAAAAATCAAATATGATCACATATTAATATAGAAATTCAATAACATCAATATTACATCAACTAACAGGTCTTTACTTGCAACACTAAATTAAATGACATTAATATTACATCAGCATACAAATCCCTTACTAAAGCCCACCATTTCGTTCCCATAAATGTTCGACAAGATCCAATTGCAATTGAGAATGAGTTTGTCTGTCTCTAATGCGATGATGATTCTGAATAAATTCACACAAATCTATTGTACGTTCGTGAGACACTGATATAGTTGGGGCTTCCTCAGCAGCATCGTACGTGAAGTCGATATAATCATCATTTCTTTCATCTTCAACAATCATGTTATGCATTATTATGCATGCTTGCATAATATTTTTCAATATTTTCTCATCCCAAGAGCGAGCTGGTCCACGCACAATTGCAAAGCGTGATTGGAGTACCCCAAATGCTCGCTCTACATCCTTTCTTTCCGACTCTTGAAGTGTAGCAAAATGTTTTCTTTTATTTCCTTGTGGTAAAGAAATTGTTTTAACAAATGTTGCCCATGACGGATATATACCATCAGCAAGGTAGTATCCCATCGTGTATTCATGACCATTGACTGTATAATTAACAGTCGGACCATGCCCTTCAGCAAGTTGAGAAAAAACGGAAGACCGTTCTAACACATTAATGTCATTAAGAGCTCCCGGTAAACCAAAATAAGCATGCCAAATCCAAAGATCATAGGAAGCAACAGCTTCTAAAATTATTGTAGGAGTGTGGTTGTGACCAGTATACATACCATGATACGCAACCGGACAATTCTTCCATCTCCAATGCATGTAGTCAATGCTTCCTAACATCCCAGGAAATCCCCGTTGTTTGCCAATTGCAAGCAATCTTGCAGTGTCCTCGTCAGTTGGTGACCTTAGATACTCATCACCGAAAATTTTAACAATTGTTTTGGCAAACCTACCGAGACTCTCTATAGCGGTGCTTTCTCCAATCCGCACGTAATCATCCACAGAATCTGCTGATACTCCATAAGCAAGCATCCTCATAGCAGCAGTTACTTTCTGTAGTGAGGATAAACCAATTTTCCCAGCAGCATCCCGTTTCTGGACAAAGTAGGAATCATGTGTTTCCACTGTGGATAAAATACACAAAAATAGTGGACGATGCATACGAAATCTCCTTCGAAACAGTTTTGCTAGATACACAGGAGATTCACTAAAATAATCATGAAAAAGCCTCTCGTGACCTTTAGCTCTATTGCGTTGAATTACAACGTGCCCTGGAATGGAACCACGACGAAAATATGACCGTTGAGATATTATTGTTAAATAAAATTAATATTAAAATAATATGAATTTAAATTTAAAATAATATTTAACCTTTAACACGATTTATATAAATTAATTATTATCTAAATTAATTATTTGTTAAATTTTAATTTAATTAATTAATTTAATGATTATATAAAGTAATTTCTTAATTTAGATTAATTAATTAATTAATTATTTTTAGTTATTAATATTTAATTATTTATTCATTTATAAATAAACTACATATTTAATTAAATCTTAATTCATAAAATTAAAAAACTAAATATAATTAATTAAGGGATAGGGGGTTTTTAAGGGGAACCATTGGAGAAGAACCAATCCCTTCCCCAATAGTACCCCCTAAATTAAGGGACATCCAAGGGAACCCTTGGAGATGCTCTAAGTATACATAGTTAAAAATTCCTAATTTCTATGGACTGTGATCCACAATTTTAGCATTTCAATTTTCTTTTGACCAAATAGAAATTAAGTATATATACATCAAAATTTATAATTTTTATGAACTATAACTCGAGATTTTTATCGATTTTCGTTCATTTCAACCAAATGATATTTAAGTAATTTGTGATTTTTATGGCTATAACCCATAAATTTTATAATTTTGGTTCATTTCGAACAAATGAAAGTTAAGTACATGTAGCTAAAAATTTATGATTTTAATAGGCTATAACTAACAAATTTTACAATTTTGGTTCATTACAACCAAATGGAAATTAAGTAATGTGTGCATCAAAATTTACAATTTCATGGGTTAAAATGAATAATTTTATCAATTTTTATTCATTTCGACTGAATGGCAACTAGGTGCGCATAGTTTAAAATTCATATTTATATTGTCTATAACCCACAATTTCATGGGCTACGACTCACGATTTTTTCAATATTTGTTCATTTCTACCAAATGATAATTAATTATGCATAATTTAGAATTCATGATATTCATAAGCTATATCAGCTTTAGCTTTTTTGCTGGGTTTTTTGTCCTTGAAACCACCTTTAAAATAGGGTAATTATACGAAAATCACATTTCAATTTTACTTTATACATAAACTACATTTAAAGTGGTATTGTGTTGCAATCAACCATCTCACAATTAAATTTTCACTAAAAACTAGAAAAAAATAAGTTTAAAATTTCCATGTTCAAGGTACATGACTTGTATCCTAACATGACCTAAACATTGACAATATATGTGCCTTGAATGTGAGTTTTTCAAGGGTATTTTTAAAGTTTCAGTGAAATTTTTGACTAAAAGGTGGTTGATTGCTATAGAAACCCACATTAAATTTATGCATAAATTAAAATTGAAAAGTGAGTTTCATATACTTACTTTACTTTTAAGGTGGTTTCTAGCGGGAAAATGTTTTTTGATTGTTTTGACTAAATAAAAACTAAATATTTATACATAAAAATTTATGATTTTTATAGTCTATAACACATGATTTATGCAACTGTTGTTCATTTTAATCGAATAGCAATAAAGTTTAGGTACATCAAAATTTACAAATTTCACGGGTTAATACATGATTTTTCTTTTTGTCAATTTTTATTCCTTCTATCAAATGGCAATTATGTTGGGGAACTTTAGTCCCCCGCATACTACGATCTTCGCAACTCGGAAGCACAACCACAATCAACAAGATATAAAACAACCACAATCAAGAAGAAAGAACACCGACCACGTGGTTCGGTCGACCAACTTCGATCTCTGTCCACGGGGCAACAATATGAAAAATCCACTATGTATCAGAAAGAACTACAATAGGAACCACTCAACTCTCGTCTCTTAATCTCTCAACCTCACATGCATAATCAACTCTCATATTCTCTCCAACACTCACTCCCTACAATCTTTTGAACTGATAAAAAGATTGTGAAACCCTCTCTCAATGTTGTAATCTTTTGTATGGACACAAACTATGAACCCTCGGCTCTTGCACAATATTCTTGAATCAGGTCACGCCCTCTGCTAACTCTAGATTACAAGAATATTAGTTATCTCTCCTCTCCCTAGTTTTTCTTCTAATAATAGAAGAATATATATAGGGAAATCAAAACCCTATCTATAGCCTAATTTCCTAATTAGAATAGGATTCAAACGCATAATCATGATGCGACCACATCTCCTAATCATGATAGATTTCTAACCCTATCTAATTCTCATAAAGCTATACAAAGAATCAAAAACACGATGCTAACAAACCCCAACTTGGATTTGATTCCCAAACTCCCTCAAAGATATATCACTGTCGTCTTTAAACTTTACCTCTCCTGCTAGCGTCTTTTATTCTTTTCCACTTCAAATCGAAGCACTCACACTCATAATCAAAACACCTGCACTCCAAACGGGATGCCCCGTGACCCACACTATCTTGCCTTGCTATAGCGTCTCCACCTCTCTTGTGCGCACCAAGAGATCTTCGCTACCTCTAACATTAGAAGCAAATCAAACATGCTTCTCCCCCGAACTGTGTTGTCCTCGTACTCCACCTGCATCGTTCGTCTCGAATCATATCGGTGTACCTCTCCTACTCCACACTATGGTCGCATGCCTCTATCTCCTCCATCACTTGACTTGGGCCGAATATGAGCGATCGTTGTCTTCAAATCTAATGTCATCATCTCCATCAACATGTGTGTCACTCAGTCATGCTTGCTTGCAAACTCCACCTAAACTGGCACTATCCTCCTCGAGTCTACACACCAACGAACTCGTACTCCCGTGATGACTCTAAATAATTATATGCTGATAACTCTAATGCTAGAATCGCATCTGATTCTCTACATCAGTGTCATCCGTCGCATACTTGTTTGCCCTATCTGTCATTAGATCTGTCTCATTACCACCATCAGAACTTATCAGCACTTTCTGACCACTCTGAGCAAAATCTAAAAAATTAAACCCTCTTATCACGTTCAGAGCACTCCAAAACCTAGGAATTGACTCCTGGATCGTCAAAATTTTCCTCCAAACCCTCAATCAGAAGACAAATTAATCTGCGCCGTCGAATTTGATTTAATAATTTTTTAACTAAACCCTCATCCAAACAGTGTTCTCGTTGATACAGTGTTCCCGTGTGACGCCCCTGGGTTCACACAAGGCTACCGTCTAAGGTAAAACGAGAGATGTTAAACCTGCCATGCACCCACACTGTGCATAAACACGTTTCACCAATCACAGTAATATCCTCTAGTGGAACCAAATAGAAGTGCAAGTACAAAACAGGCAAAATAAAGGGAATAAATGTAATAGACATGATATAGAAGAGATATCTCATAAATAAAAAGAATCATGTCTCAACTATAATACATCTGATATCTGAATAATGAAAATGTCTCAACATGAATCAACTAAAAATCGTACTAAGACACACTGCCTTTACAATATGAATATGAAACTCTAATGTCTGAATGAAACTCAAAACTACAGTGAAGTCTCTACAAGTAAAAATACGCGATGGTGACTATGCCAGAACTCTGTCACCCTACGGCTCTCCGAAACTCCGAACTACCTGAAAAGTAATTTAAAAGAAAAAGAACAACAATAAAAGCGTCAGAGCGCTACAACAATATTACCTCCATCCGCCCCCAGGGAAAGGGCTACTAGATGGAGTGAATGCTCTATCCATTAAGCATAGTCTACCTAGATTCATTTTTCCCGTATCTAAGTGGGATTAACATTTAGAAACCTACAACACGAGACGTAGTACGTCGAGCGAAATAATCCAAATAAGGAAACACTCATATATATACCATATGTCTCAAATTGTAGATATTTAAATATTAATACCGAACTAAGAAAAGACAATTTAATGAAACCAACAATTAGAAATCTATAACACGAGACTGGTACGTCGAGCGAAATAATCCAAACAAGGAAACCATCATATATATACTATATCTCTCAAGTTGTGAATCTCTAATCATTGATTCCAACTAAGAAATAAAGAATGCAATAAAAGAAATAAGACATCAACACATCGTATTTATAATATCTTTCACTATCACTGGGAGATAGAATAAAATACCAATACATAATTTTGTATACTTTCAAAAGCAACGTATCTCGGTCATATAGCTCAGTGGTAGGTCGTATTCATAATCTACATCTGTCACACTTAGGCTATCAAGTAATTATCTCAATACAACAGACTACCCTGTAGGTATCCTGAACTGTGTACACGGCTCATTAGTTTCATCGCAATCTCAGTGCGTAACATGAGTGTGGGACGGACTACCAAATAGGCATCCTAGAAATACGGCTCATGAGCCTCATCGCACCCTAGTACGGGACGGACAACTAGATCAAGCCTCCTAAAATCTGACTCAATGACATGTGCATGTGGAATATCGACGCACTACCTCATGTAGTACTGAACTGAGCTCGTCAACGATATCCACCTCATGTATAATCTGTGTATATATGGTATGTTGATGCACTATCCTATATAGTACTGAGCTGTGCTCATCAATGACATCCACCTCATGTATCAACCGTATATATCTGATATGTCGACGCACTATCCCATATAGTACTGAGCTGTGCTCATCAACGACATCCAACCTGTGTATGAACAATATCTAATTCAAATATGATCAAATCAAAACTCATCATAATCCTCTTGGGATTCTCAAATACATAACACAATATATTCATGACTATATGTGTAACATCAAGCGGCTCAAAACTTCGCGAATGCATCTCAAAACGGCGCAACACAGCTCCACAAAACGAGCAGGAAAACAGACGGGACTTCTGTTAGTAAAACAAGCATATCTTTCTCTAGAAATACTATTTTTA